ACCGAGGGTAGAACTTGCCATGTCGTGGAAACAGACGTGACATGGGCCACGTCAACAAAAGCTCTTGTGGAAATCTGTATGGCTAAACACGGACGGATTGTCATTCCATAAACAACCTCGGGAGGTCAGAGCCGGGTTATCCTGCTACAATGCTGGAGGAAGTTTGGGATTCCCAGGTGGACCTCAATCTCAAGAGCGTGTTTTTGATGTGTCCAACACGTGCTACCGATAATGGAGCAACAAGGCAGTGGTGCGGTGGTGAGCGTTGCCAGCATCGCCGGCTTGAGATACATTGGAAAGCCCCGGGTTGGATACTCCGTGACGAAGGCTGCCATTCAGTTGATGAAAAAAACGGCTGTCATCTATGCGCCCAAGGGTGTACGTTTGAACACGGTTGTTCCTGGGCTCATGGGCATCCCCTACACAAAATGTATGGTATCCAGATATGGAGATGGTCAATCGGAAAGATACATGGAGATACGCCACGCGCAAACTTTTCCTAGTTAGTGATGAGGCGCAGTATTCACTGGTCAGGAACTCATTGTGGATGGTGGCATAACATCTTCGACGGGGAAGAAACTACATAACTAGTAAAATTGCATGGAGATGTTGAAGAATTCGGAAAAAATATTCATGTCTATATACAACATTGCTGGAATAAAGTTTCAGCTCTTACATTCACGATTTTCCTTGGAGACAGGCAGGAACTTTGTGTGTGAACCCTTCGAAACCAAGGGGCCCACTGCATCGTCGACAACTCGGGAAATTTTGACAGTCGTGAAGGCCATTGACTTCCCCACCCGATCAGCAACGGCAGAGATATCGAGGGTATCTCCGACGGTAGCAGTTGATAGATATGAAACGTGGATATCAATGCTTGCGCCTGTTCTCTCGTATCCATGTGTGGCTATCGACATGCCCCCCGCCCAATCGATGATGGCTGCAGAGACAGCCCCATGAATGGTTCCCCGAGAATTGACATGTTCCGCTGTGAGCTTAAGTCGAGCCTGCATCTGGCCGCTAGTTGCGCTAATAATATCAACATCGGATAGAAGAAGGCGATAGATAGGGCTGTCATTTTTGGTTCGCTCCCAAACCCCGCGGACATGCTCCAATTCGGTGACATTCATAGTCGGTTGTCACTTTAAGCGAAGGAAGTTGGGAGAATGAGGATATGGCCCAAAAAAAAAAAAAAAACACAAGATTGAAAATTGTAAAGGAGGTGAGGGGGGTGGAATTGGATATTTTCGTTGAAGTCCGAGTCGGAAGGGCCGAGAGCGGCATGTGCCGCCATTGCAACGGAGTCGATCCGAAAAGGAACTGGGGAAGTTTTTGGGGGGGGGGGGGGGGCATATCTCAGCATATCTGAAGCATATCTCGCTAGGGTATCTTCCTAACTAGTGTGTATATTGCTTTCACCTTGGTTTGTCCCTATATGATTAACTTGGATGAGATGTCCACCTGGGATATCGATCTGCGTCAATTGGAGAATTACAACATAATGTTGCCTACCCAAAAGTCCAATTATATAACAAGGTAACTCACGAAATTCATTATTATACGTTGCTGTTGGTGACATGCTCATATATAAAAGAAATCAAATATCATCAAATATGAATCTCCAAAAGTCCTAGTCCAAGTGTAGATGAGGTGGAAATGAAGATGGGCGGTGAATATGATTGCAGAAAAAGGGGAGATACCAACAACACCAACTCTTCTTCATTTCGCAAAATGGAAAACTCAGCAAGGACGTTTAATTCGTCCTTAGAGGCCAAGCAGCCCTTCCCTCCACTGTTGGCCGAAGATCCTATATCCCCGTCAGAACCGCAAGAGAGTTATGAAGACGAGAGTATCACTTCCCCCGGCTATGAGATCGAGGTGGAGGACGATGCGGATTTCCAGTCGCATTACTCGCTAGAGCATCAATCATTATCCGATACAGACTCCGATGATTCTTCTAATATTGACCGGAATCATCCATTTCGCCAGTCCTCCGGGTCTCTCCATGGGCCCAATGCATTTGCACCTCCGTTCTACAATCGTCCACCCACCCCTCTACCGCCCTCGCCATCACTCACTTCTCTTCTTCGGCCGCCCTTCTCGACTACTACATCACGCCCAACTACTCCGGACAGCTCCGATGTAGAGACTCCCAACGATACGGAGGCAGCGGTCGCCAAGTCAGCTCGTCGCGCAACCACCGTTCCGCGCGCCAGTCCCAAGGTTCCTACCTATGAATACTATGGCTTCGTGTTATACCTAGCTTCATCATTGGCTTTTTGTAAGTCTCATGGAAAATTGACGGTGCAGCCTCTTGTAATCTTCCGCATACTGACCGGACTAACCTAGTATTTTATCTCCTATGGTCTTATCTCCCATCGCCATTCCTCCATCAGCTAGGGATTTACTATTATCCCAACCGTTGGTGGTCGCTAGCGATCCCCGCATGGTTGGTGATGTTACTTATATACATTTATGCTGCGCTCGCCACGTATAACACAGGCTACCTTACCTTGCCCATGCACAGCATCGAGAACATTGTTGATGAAGTCGCGAATGTATCGGTGATTGACGGAAAGGCGCGGAGACGTCCCGGTGGTGCTACCAAAATGAAACCCGGTGCCACCTCCTACCAGATCATGGGTCCCCAAAACCGCAAGGTCAATTGGCGAGAAATTTGGAGTGAGGGAACCGACGCCGTCATGGACGTGCCGGTAGGGGGCGTGTGCGAGGTTTTGTATGGCCAAGACCGAGAGGGAGACTTCGATTGTCCGGCTGCAGACTCATAGCTTCTCGGTTCAATCGATTTACTTGCCAATTCAGGCTCATAACTCCAAAAGATTGATTTTAGTGTTTCAGTGTTCTTGTTTACTTCTGGCATGTGCCCCGGGGCCAATGACGTTCGCTTGATAAACCCAGATATCACGTGCTTGGCAGATCGGTGGTCTGGCCGCCTTCCACCTTCTGTCTTCTGCCTTGCTACTCATATCACCCAAACTGTGGACAACGGCAATTACGGTTGAGAGAATAATTTCATAATGTCAGAAGAACGGCCTTCGACCCCACCTTTGCAGCCCAAGGGTTCGGGGACAGGACAGCTTCCCCGCGGTGCTATCACGCCAGAACAACAACGGAGGATGGTAAGTTCCTTCCAAGGTTGCGACATGACCAGCCAAAACTAACTAGTCTTGCTGGTAGGAACTTAGTCGCATGAAAGCTAAAGCTCTTCGGGAGAAACGTGAAGCCGAACTATCCCAAGCCGCTCCAAATACCTCCCAGATCGCAACAGGCACCAAGCGCTCGTTCACCTCGATGGCGGCATCCAACCAGCCTGCTAATATGCGTGACGCATCTTCTTCAAATCGCCCACTAGACTCGATCAAGCCAGCCCGAAACTTCACAAGCTATGTCGACTATGATTTTAGCAAGATGACCGACACGAAGGGTGGATTTTTGACACAAGAGGATGACCCGTTCAATAAACAACTAAACGTGCCGGATGAGAAAGAAGTACAAAAGCCAGCACATATGACGCAGAAGGAATGGGAACGCCATCAAATACTCCAATCATTAAAGCGAAATCGGGAAGGACCCTTTGAACCAGGTCTAAGTGTCCTGGATGATAAAAGCAAGCAGAAGACATGTCGTGAATGTGGCAGTCTCGAGATTGATTGGAAATGGGAAGAAGAACTAAAGTGTTGCATCTGCCATGCTTGCAAGGAGAAACATCCAGAGAAATACAGTTTGTTGACCAAGACGGAAGCCAAAGAAGATTATCTCTTGACAGATCGTGAGTAACTAATTGTCGGCTGTGAAAAGAGAGACGTGCTAATCAGCCTGCGCACAGCCGAACTCCGAGACGAAGAGCTCCTTCCACGCCTTGAGCGTCCGAATCCACACAAATCCACATGGAACAGCATGATGTTGTATCTACGATACCAAGTCGAAGAATATGCGTTTTCCGATAAGAAATGGGGCTCAACGGAGGCACTGGATGTCGAATTCGAACGGCGAGAAAGCGATAAAAAGCGGCGGCGGGAGGCCAAATTCAAAACGAAGCTACAGGAGCTGAAGAAACGCACACGCGTGGAGGCCTACCGGCGCAATCGACAGGGTACTTCGGGTGGAGAGTTTGGCGATGATCTCGGTTCCGGGCGGAAGCATGTTCATCAATGGGGCCGATCCATTGAGAATTCAGAAACTGGAATTGGTATTAAGACGTGTGTAGAATGTGGAATGGAGGTGGAAGAGCTCGAGTTCTAGAACGAGTAGAATGTACCATAGCATGATTGATTATTATACGAGACCACAAGCTAATTTGGCATTTGAGCCTATTAAACATTAGTCTTTTTAAAAAAAACAATGTTTAAATGGGTCTTTGTGAGAGACCTTTGTTGAATAATACTTCAATGTTGTTCTATTGTACTGTTAGAGATGTATACAATGTCATATACACCCAGAGTGGCCGGAATATATCGTTTCGGTTCAGTGATGGCAAGAGCAAATTAGCAATCAAACCCGATATCAAGGTACAATTTTACCATGTATATATATCAACTAATAATAATATTCAAGTCTTTGGTGCATCTATGCTGTGGAGTATATATACACGTTGTTACAAGCTCCATATAACATTAGTTGGTGTCCCAGAATTTAAGCACCAACAATCATCCAACTTTAGTTCATCTGCAGAACTCAGCTTTTGATTGTTTATTCCTATGGAACCTATTGAATCTCCTATCACATAAAAACTTCTCTCATGTGTACCTTTAATACAAAACTCTCCCTAATCCATCCAATTGCTTACCAAAATTATCATCCACCTCCAGGGGAGGGAACGTGCAGGCTAATCTTCTCCATCTAGAAGGCGGTCAGAACCCCCCCCCGAGGGCAAGCCATCTTCACCATAACAAAAGATCAGTGAAGGTACACTCTCATCCTCATAACTTTACTATCATTGTCCGACCTTGCTCCTCTCCTTTGCATCCCTTCTCCCTCCCGACACCTCATTCACAGGCTGACTCGGCGTGGAACGTGGTTCCTTGCCGTCGCCATTAGGGGACTTGGTTCGCTTACTGCGGACACGATTTACCGGGGTCAGGAGAAACCGAAGCTCGCACCTTACACGTCACTTGATTTACTACCGGCCCGATTTTGCCCTTGATACCTCCTGCAGTGCTTTGACCCTTCCGAACCTTGACCAGTCCTGTGTCTGTTCATGTCCTGGCAATCTCCATCAGCCATGGCTGGGATCGGAGGAATGCCCGGCGGCATGGATGGTTCGAATGGTCCACAGGGCACGGAATACACATTACAGGGTGAGCAAAAATATACTTGATCTCTTGAATGCCATTGACTGATAACCGTCTCCAGGTGTAATGCGCTTCCTACAGACAGAATGGCACCGACACGAGCGCGACCGCAATGCATGGGAGATTGAACGGGCAGAGATGAAGTCTCGCATTGGTCGATTGGAAGGTGATCTGCGCACAAGCAAACGCTTGCATGAGTCCCTTGGGAAGCATGTTCGGCTGATGGAGACCGCCCTGAAGAGGGAGAGGGAGAAGGTCAAGAAGCTTTCGAACAACGAAAAGTCTGAAGACTCTAAGGATCCCAAAGATGCTGCACGTGAAAGTGTCAACTTTCTGAAAGGTATGCCACTCGCAATTATAAGCACGCGACGTGGAAATATTGACTGAATTATTCACCAGCGCAACGGCCCAAGCCGAGCACAGACCATGAGAATGATGAGGAACCCGACAACGAAAACCAGCACGAGGGTCAAATTGAGGATATAGACAAAGTCCGAGGATACCTGTCCAAAGCTTCCCACGAAATCGCGTACCACGTTATACCCGCCTCCCACCCGCCACCTGACTTGAACGACTCCGACATGTCAGCCCAGCTTTATGGCAATCCACAGCTGTCGCAACAGAACCTGGAGGAGGCTTATCTTCAACAGCAACGGCAGAAGGCGAATCATGTTATGGCACGTGAATTGGCCTTACAAAACCACCAGCCGATGTCCAATCACTACTCCGACAATGCCATGGCTCGTGCTCAAAACCAGTATCTTTCTCGGGATTCCATGGATCGACGGTCAATGGACCAGCAGCAAGCTCCCGTCGCAGCAATTGAAAATCGAACCCAAGCATACGAACAGGGCACAGTGGATGATCGTCCAAACCGGGCATACGAAGCCCAGGGCCCCCGAGTGGTCGTCAAGGAAGATGTGAATCTGCAAAACTTGACCGAGGAAAGAACAGAGGATGTAGACGGGTGGAATTTTGACGAGCCGACGGAGCAGGAACTCGTGGTCACCGAACCCGTCCCACCTCATCGCCCAGATACGGATGCTTTCCCAAATGCCAACTTTACGCGCTCCGAATCGACCAAGGGGGGGTCTCTCTCCCATGGAAGGAATAACTCGGGATCAAGGCGTAAGAGCGAAGGTGCAATTGAAGCCCGGGCAGCGGGTGCGACACTAGCACATAAGCAAGATTCCCTCTTCAGAGTCCAGTTTTCGCTTCGTGGCCACTTGGATGTGATTCGATCTGTCACCTTCACCGGTGATGATAGCCCAGACGAGCCCGAGATCTGCACTTGCAGCGACGATGGAACGATCAAGCGATGGAGCATCCCAGGTACTTCTGGTGGCCCGAGAGCTGGTTCTAGCCATGGCTCGGACGTCACGAGCAAATTTACTCATCGCGGACATGAAGGTGCTGTGACTTCTCTTGCCGCCTGCTCATCGTCTCAGAACATCACCCTTGGGGGTAATGGGTTGGTATTTTCAGGTGGCCAAGATGCCAGCGTGCGTTTATGGGAACGTAACCGGATTGATCCTAAGGCCACCTTCCACGAGCATAAAGATGCAGTCTGGGGACTTTGCGTTCTTCCGGGGACCACGGGCTCTGTCATTGGCGACTCAAGCGGCCAGTATGGTGGATCGGATCGAATCCTTCTGGCCTCCGGCGCAGCAGATGGCTATGTCTTTATTTGGGCTATCAGTGCCGCTCCTCAAACTCCTTCACCCCCCACTGGGAATCGCCGTCAGCGGGCGAACTCAAACTCAATGCCCTCCGGTTCCAACTACCCAACCTTGCCTCAAACCAGCGCCGTTCCACCTCCAGCTTTCCACTACACCATTCTTCATCGCATTTATCGTCCCAATTTTCCTTCTCCAACATGCATTAGCCCCCTGTCTCTTGCGGGCGTCAACTTTGTCGTCTCATATTCGGATGCCTCTATCATTGTCTACGACACGCGGACCGGCGAAGAAATTGCGGGGATGGCTAGTCTCGAGACATATGATGGCACACCAGCTACTGGGGTGAACTCAGTCGTCGCTACGACTGTCGGCTTTGATGGAACAGTTAATCTTGATCCTAACCGCGCGATGGCCGAAGAAGAAGTGGTCCACGGAGCTACTGGATCAAGCAGCGTAGAGGGTGTAATCATCAGTGGCTACGAGGACCGATACATCCGCTTCTTTGATGCCAATAGTGGTAAGTGGCATTCAAAGGACCTTGCTTCCCCACACAATACGCTAACGTTTGATATAGGTCAATGTACATACACAATGCTTGCTCATCCTGCTGCGATAGCCTCACTGTCATTATCTCCGGATGGACGTGAGCTCGTTTCGGCTGGCCATGATGCAAGCTTGCGATTCTGGAATCTTGAAAAGCGCAGCTGTACTCAGGAGCTGACAGGCTACCGGCTGATGCGTGGCGAAGGAGTCTGTGCCGTGGTATGGAGCAGTGATGGCCATTGGGTCGCTGGCGGTGGTGGAGACGGCGTGGTCAAGGTCTGCTCCCGATGATTGAAACGACGGAATGAAAACCCGTGTATGATTCTTATTGCGTTATACCTGTGTGTGTGTCTCTTCGCGTCTGCTCGTCGTTTTCTGTATGATCCCATGAACTGGATGAGCGATTGGCCGGACCAGTTCTTTCGAGCATCTGCAACCGTGTTCACCGACGCTGTGTGGCCGATGATACTCTCCTACGTGATTTTGCTTCTTTTTCTATTTCTTTTTTCAACCTGTGTACTTTTTACTTCGCTCATAACATGTTCGACAAAGATTCCCTGGCGTGCATGGATGTTTTTTCCCCTTCAACTGTTTCGGTACATGCCCTACTTTCTATGGGAAACTGGGCATGTCTTGTTCGAATATCTATTCGCTCTTGTGATAGGGCCTTCATTGGTTTTTAAGGAGTGCCTGATAGGCTGTGGATTGATCCCAATATTTGATGTATCGGTTGCTTGGTGCGGATGGTTTATTTCTTTTCGGTTCTGCTTGAATGTGCCTATTTAGCTTATGCCTTAGACGCTGATAGCTCATGTTGTGTGTATAACATTTGAATCAATACCATTCATCGAGCAGACTCGGCCTTGATAGACTATCATGGACCCGGGACATATGTGAAATGACTGGAACAAATACAGGTATCATTTGATATTGACATTATTTCGCTGCGCTGTCGTGGAGATATACTTTACTTGGCTGAACTCCACGCCTCTTTGAACACAAATCTCAACCGTTTTGCTTCTTCCTCGTCCTTCAATCGCTGCTCGAGATAGCCTTGCAGATCATCCCAGAAAGCCACTGTATGCAACAACTCCTCACCACTCGGACCTATAGCAGCCTTGGGAGGTGATTCATCCTGCTTCTCTGTAATCTCCGGTTGAGCCACAGCAGATTCAACCACCTGGGCGCCACCGATGATCATCACTCCGATCTCAACTTCTTTGCCTCCTGCTAGAATGACGGGTTCATCTGCCAATACCTCGGCCAATGTCTTCCCGGTACCAGTCACTGGCTTCCGCTTGTATAAGATCTTGATCTTGTCTAGCGGAACTTGGCCACCCTGCGCATCCGTGATGCGTACTTGCACAGCATCCCGGATATCCTGGACCGAGGTGGTTGAGAGAGGGGCATTTGAGACCAGGAATTCCAGAGCAGGGTTGCGGGCAGACTTGACGCGAACAGTGATTGATTTGGATGAGCCTGGTGCCTGTGTTGACTTCACTTTTTTGGGCATCGGAGGGTGCGGGGCTGAAAGGCGGGGGAGTGTGTACTGTCGTTTTCGGAAAGCAAATTAGAATGATCTTCATCGGCGAGTCAAGCTAGGGTTTGTTCGCATCAAGACTCACGGGGACTCGTAGTCCAATTTGTTCGGGGTCGAAGACATGATCAGCACGAAGCTTGATTGGCCGCGAGTCCAGCGTGGACAAGAATGATTTAGTGAAAGTCAGCTCCGACATGGTGAGCAACTTAGACTAGGTGGTAGTGATTCTCAAGTCGAAAGAGAGAGAGAGAAGCAAACCCAAGGCGATGGTTGTTGGAGTAGTGGAGGTCTGGACCTGGGGGTTCACTTGATGCTGATGGGACAAGGGACACCTGAATTATAAGGCATAAATTGGAAATAACTAACGTATTCGGTAAGCGAGCTGGCCATGTAAGCGAGCTGGCCACCCACCCAAGTATATTAAATTGAAATGCATTTATCTCTACCATAACGCCATTAAATTAAATACACTAAAATGATCTATTCTCTGGACATGCATTTCTTTTATGACCCTGGTTTTTGCATAACCCGCATGTTGGTAATGCTCTCGTTCGTGGCTGTAAAGGTGGCGAGAGCCGTCTCTGCCGGCGGGGGGGAGGCGCTTCAATTGCTTCTACCGGCTCAGTAATCAATTGAGAAGCTTCTTAAACTATTAAGCCTGCTTCAGCTGGTATCTACCTCCGGGATCTAGTACGCTTTTGCTTCTGCTTCTCGTTAGCGGCGCGTAATTCCTTGTTTTCATAGGCGAGAAAGATAGCACCTTGTATTATAAGACGAAAGCCCTTTATAAGCTAGTTTAATACACGATCTAACGGGCTAGGCGGGCTCCGAGATCTTGTACGAAGTAAAGCTTTGATTGATAAAGCTTGCCGACGTAGTTCTTTCTCTATAAAGGGGGTTTTTGGGGTGAAATTCCGGCTCGATTCACTACCCCGGCTAGCTAGGGGGGTCGGGGTTCGAAGCCGGATATTGAGCTTTAAGATCACTCGGTCGGGTCTAAATAGGACTAAACCGGCTACTACGAAGCTATTTTTAATAGTCTCCGATTTAAAAGCTTTAATTCGTACCCGGGGGTATACTTCGAGGAAGTCGAGTTTGTTAATATAGTTGATCCCGGTACGTATCTTGATTTCAACCATCCGACTATATATACGTTTTAATACCGCAAAACAACCAATATCTAGAGGTTATAAAAGATAAGATAAATACGCTAGTATATAAATTAGTATCACCTTATTTTACTCGCAAATTTCGTCAAATTTAGGCGTTAAATAACTTCTATAGCCGTCGAGTATTAAGAGCCGGTATACCCCCTTCGTACGTATAGTACTAGGAATAAAGAGCTTTTCAAGCCAACGAAGGCTAATTTTATCGGAAGTCTAGCCGTTAGGACTAACTTCGAAGCGCCAATCCTTTAGGAGGCCGTCGAACCATAATTTAATAAAGACTTTGCCTTTAAAAATCATATACGGAGGAAGGGCCTAGCCAGAAGCATTCGTACACTCAATAATAGTCACCTACTCTCGGTTTCTAGGTTATAAAAATAAACGCCGACCGTAGTATTCACTCCTCGTAATAACCTTCGTAGTTACAGTTAATCCTATCGCGAAACTAGTCTCGTCAAAGTTATAGATATCGTCGGGATCGATTCTAAATTAAAGGATTGTCTTTTAAACTAGATCAAACCACTCTATAATGATTTTAGGATCTTTATATTTCGCGCGCTCGTAATTATATCGTTTCGAGAATCGGGAGGAGAGGAGAGGACGCCGTTTAACAAAGTTATATACCTATTTTTCGCCGACCGAAAGAACCGGGGTAGTTCCACGCTTTTAAAGAAGAAGATCCGCCATTTCTCGTACTATAGAGGGCCGGGGAGCTGCTCCACGTAGATCCATAGAGAGAATCCATTTTTAAAGAGATTCCTCTTCAATTTCAGTCAATTTAGACGAATTAGCGCGAGAAATCGCGCGGTTTTGAACCCCATTAAGACGAGTAGAAAGAGTAGATCTTAGGACGTTAAAACGGCGCGCCACTTCACGAATCGAAGAGATTTCTCGATTTTTAAAAGCCTAGATAGCTAATAAAAGCCTACCCTCTTTCTCCGCTGAATTACTAGAGGATCGAGAGCGAATTGGTGGCATGGTGGGTGGTTGAATTGACTAAGTAATAACCCATGGACGCGTTTTCGATGGGGTGGCCAGCTCGCTTACATGGCCAGCTCGCTTACCGAATACGTTAACTACACCGCTTTTCATAATTCCGTACTGCCGACAGTCACCGCCCTAAGAGAAAAAAAAAAAGGGAAAGAATCTACAAGCTCCCCCCAAGAAGGAAATACCATTAACGTCCCATACACACAACTTTTTCACAATGGGTGTCGGTCGCCGTATGAAGAAACAGGGCCCTCCGGCCCCCCTCGACGAGTCAAAAATCACAATGCTCAAGAAACGCAAAGCTGGCGGGGCTGAGGCGCCTCCGAAGCCTGCACCAGCAAAGCGTCGCAGATCTGATGCCGATGAGGCTGTCTCGAAGAAGGAAGCCCCCAAGAAGAAGAAGGTCAATGGTGTTACTACCAAGGCCGATTCCAAAGAATCTAAGAAGCAACCGTCGGCCACAAAGAAGGCCGTGCCTGTGCCTATGTCTGATGATGATGAAGATATGGAGGATGATGATGAGTTCGGTGATCTTGATGGGATCAGTGCAGGCTCAATGGATAGCGACGATCAGGTTGAAGGACTGTCAGACCTAGAGGATGATAACTCGGTTGTCGATTCTGACGAAGAGGGCCACACCCGTGGAGCCATGTTCTCCGACGACGAGGATTCCGATGCCGAAGAGAGATTGACCGCCGCAAACATTGAGGGTCTGTCGCGGAAGTTGGATGCTGAGCAACAAGAGGAGGAGGAAGCCGCTGAGCAGGAAATGCAGGAAGCCGCTCTGCAGACCAACATCGCTGCACCCGATGTGTTCGCCGACCAAACCCAGCAGGGACTCGCCCCCGATCTGCAGCTGCTTCGCCAGCGCATCACAGACACCATTCGAATCCTGGGTGACCTGAAGACCCTCGGCCTGCCCGGTAAGTCGCGTACCGACTATATCGATCTCCTGCTCGACGATATCTGCACATACTACGGCTACACTCGATTCTTGGCCGAGAAGCTGTTCAGCCTGTTCACCCCTAGGGAGGCCTTTGCCTTCTTCGAAGCTAACGAGACTCCTCGCCCTGTCGTTATCCGTACCAACACTCTGCGAACCAACCGCCGCTCCCTCGCCCAGGCCCTCATCAACCGTGGTGTTGTCCTCGAGCCCGTTGGCAAATGGTCCAAGGTTGGCCTGCAAGTTTTCGAGTCTCCAGTTCCGCTGGGTGCCACGCCCGAATACCTCGCCGGTCACTATATTCTCCAGGCTGCATCTTCTTTCCTCCCTGTCATGGCTCTCGCTCCCCAGCCTAATGAGCGTGTCCTCGATATGGCTTCTGCCCCCGGTGGTAAGACAACATACATGTCTGCCCTGATGCGCAACACTGGCTGTGTTGTCGCAAACGATGCCAGCAAGCCCCGTGCTAAGGGTTTGATTGGTAACATTCACCGTCTCGGTTGCAAGAACACCATTGTGACGAACATGGATGCCCGCACTGCGTTCCCCAAGGCCATGGGTGGCTTCGATCGTGTTTTGCTTGATGCTCCTTGCACTGGTACCGGTGTCATCTCGAAGGATCCCGGTGTCAAGACCTCCAAGAACGAGCGTGATTTCCTCGCCATTCCCCACATGCAGCGCCAGCTTCTTTTGGCTGCAATCGATTCCGTTGACCACGCCTCCAAGACCGGCGGATACGTTGTCTACTCTACTTGCAGTGTGACAGTCGAAGAGAACGAGGCTGTTGTGCAGTATGTGCTTCGCAAGCGTCCCAATGTCAAGATTGTGGACACCGGTCTT